AGTCCCAGAATTAGCTCTAGAGTCAGCCATTTCTCTAAGAAACCTAGATTCTTCTAATGGAAAATGACATTTAAAGACCAAAATCCTGGTGCTAGAAATGATCATTGCTACTGGGATGTCATTGCTTTAAGACCTATGGTATACACATTACCTATCTATCACCCATCGATATATCTATTAATCCATCTGCCTGTCTCCATGCTAAGGCTTCCAATTCCAATTCCACACCACAGAGTTCCTTCTAGACATCTCTCTTTATATTTTTAAAACATTTTTCTCTCACAGTGAGAAATCTGGCTCTTGTCATATACAATGGATGTATTTATTTCCTCAAGCCTAGAATACACAGAAAATCATTTTAGAATTGCTAGCCCATACCACTGTGGAAAATGAATCCACCCCCAGAATTCAGTATTTGTTTATAGTTCTCTTTGTCCTTAGCTAAGGGTGTATACTCAAATGTTCGTGTTCAAAATTTACTTGGATTATGTTATTATTTTGAAATACAGTTAGATTCATTTGCTTCAGTCTGTATTCTATTTTAGAGGCCTTTTTCTATATTTTTCTTGATTTTTGTGTTTGTGTGCAATATACTTCCAATAATCAGAACCACAAAAATGGCTTAGATAAAATACTTAGATGAATGTCACTTCCCCATACTTTCTGTCAGTTTCCTCCCCACCCATTTTTTCTATCCTATTTCCCTTACATCCTCTCTCTGTAGCCAATTTTTTTCAGTTGCTAGGTTATTCTTGCAGTGTTTCTTTTTGTACAAATGAGCAGATATATGTATATGTTTTTACTTCTCCCATATCAATTCATAGAACTATTCATTCCTTTTGACGTCTACATGGTCTTCTATGTATAGATTTGCCATGGTCCGTTCAATCATTCGCTTCTGGGTGGGCATTTAGATTGTTTTCAGTATGTTTCAGTTACAGTTATGCAGTGAATAACCTTGTGCATATATATTCTTAATTGTTGGAAGTGTACATTTAGGGTAAATTTCTAGGGTAGAATTGCTAATCCTAACTGAAATAAGTCAGTCAGAGAAAGACAAATCCCGTATGATCTCACTCATAGGTGGAATTTAAGAACTAAAACAAATGAGCAAAGGAAAAAAAAGAGACAAACCAAGAAACAGACTCTTAATTATAGAGAACAAACTGATGATTGCCAGAGGGGAGGTTGATCAGAGGATGGGTAAGCTATGTGATGGGGATTAAAAAGTGCACTTTATCATGATCTAAAACTAAACAAAATAAAATAATTTTTAAAATACACTTTTTGTTAAATATTGCCAAATCATCACACACATACACACCCATTTGTATCAGTTTGGTTTCTTGCCACCAGTGTGTGACACTGCTTCAACCCAGTCTCACTGACAAGGTATGTTATTTTTGGCCAATCCCATAGGTAAGAAATGGTTTCTCAGTGTCGTTTCACATTTCTGTTATGAGTGAGGAAGAATATCTTTTCAAATGTGTCTTTTTGTGTGTGTGAATTTGTTTATGTCTTTTGTACATTTTTTTCCATCAAGATTTTAATCTTTTTCTCCCTTCGGTTATTAAGAGTTCATTATATGTTTGGACCTCTTAGCTCTTTATCTGTGATATATACTTACTGCAAAACCTTCTCCTGCTTTGTCACTTTTTTTTCCTTTTCTTTTCTTTTCTTTTCTTTTTTTTTTTGCTTGTGATATTTTGTGTCATGTGGTTTTTATGAATCTAGCCAAAGTTTACTGACGTATTTCTTGTATTGTCGCTAGGTAATCATAAGACTTCCTTACACTTAGGCTATGTAAGAATCCACTCTGTTTTCTTCTAACACTTGTATTGTTTCATTTGCTTGCATTTCTATCTCTGGTCCATTTGGAGTTTATTCTTGTGATTGGTATGAGGTATGTATATAATTTTTCTTTCTCAAAGAGCTATGCAATGATACTAACCCTTTTGTTTATAAGCCCTAGGTCTTTATGTAAAAGTCTTTGTCATTTGAGATGCCACCTTTATCATATGCAAAAATTTTATATGTGCCTAGGTCTATTTCTTGACTTTGTGTTGAATTCATTGGTTTAATTGTTTTTTATATGCTGGTGTAGCATTGTTTTAATTATACAGACTTTATAGTATGTGTTAATATCAGATAGGGCTAATGCCCCCTCATAGTTTTTCTTTTCCAAATTTTTTCATAGCCATTTTTAGATGTTTATTTTTCCATATGAACTATAATATCAAGTTTACTAGTTCCAAAAAACAGGTTGGTATTTCTGCTGAGATTATGTTAAATTTGTAAGTTAAAATGGACAGAGTTGGCATCTTTTTAGTGTTGAATCGTTCTATCCCAGAAAAGGTGTGTCTTTTTATTTGTTCAAATCTACTGTGTCTTTTGATAGTGTTTTAATTTTTTCTTCATAAAGATTTCTTACTCCTACTGATAAGCTCATTGTTTATCTTTGTGTTTTATCTTTTTTTTTTTTTTTTTTTTTTTTTTTTTTTTTTTTTTTTTTTTTTTTTTTTTTTTTTTTTTTTTTTTTTTTTTTGGTAAGCAACATTTTCTCTGATTTTTTTCCTCTAAATAGTTATTGTTTGTGTGTATGAAGGCTATTGATTTCTATATGTTAATTTATATCCTGTTATCATATTTAATTCTTTTATCATTTGAGATAGTTTTATCATTAATTCCTAGGTATACTATCATATTATCTGGAAATGGAGATGGTTTTACTTATGTGATTTTTCTCATCTAAATTCATTGGCTGATACCTTCAAGGCAACATTAAATAGTACTGAAGATATTATACACACGCACATATATTATATGTGTATAATAGGTATATTATATAGTTTTAAGCATGTTAAGAAAGTATTCATTTTCTGCTTTCTTTATTATTTTTATCCAGAATGGATGCTGAATTGTGTAAAAAGCTTTTCAGCATCTGTTATAAAAATCATATGATTTTTCTCCCCAGATTGATCAATATCATGTTTTATATTAATGGATGTCCTCATATTGAGCAGACTTGCACCACTGGAATGCATCTCACTTTGGCATGGTGTATCATTTTCTGAATATGTACCACTAATGAATGTCAAATCCTTAAATGACAAAGCTCTACAACATTGTCACTCAAAACCAGAAACCCCAAACAAAGCCAGAAACCTCCAAAAGAATGCTATCCCCTAAGGCCCTTACTGGATTATAGATTTCTAGTTGACTCAGGACCTCTGGGGAAGGTTTCCAGATTCTATTTCTGACAGGTCTTCACAGAGGCAGTCTGTATGCACACTGAGAACCATTGGCCTACCTTATTGTTCAATGTGAATTTTTTATGGGAAGTTACTGCAAAAATGTATTTACTTTAGCAAGGAATTTTCTCCATGATTCCTTTAAAAATCTGCTTTATATCTTAAAATTTTAGATCATGAGCCAGCTGCAGGAAAATTAATGATACAGAGCTAAATTGATAAAGCTAAAAATATTAGCTGTCACCTGACTATCCATTTATCCGTTCACTCATTTACTCACCTTCTTTTAGCAATATGCAAGGATAGGGATACAAAAATGTATAAGACCTCCTTAACAGTAGAAGAAATGGGGGATTAAATGAATGTTTGTAAAATAATACATTAGGTGTATGTTAGAAATATTTTCCAGGAATTTTGTGGGTATGATAGGCTTTAAAGAGGAAATATTTCTTTCCTCTGGGTCAGAGAACAGTTCAAGAGGAGTTGATGCTTTAGATGAGGCATCTTTCCAAAATAACATTAACAAATGGGGAAGAAATTTATTTACAAAAATCTTACATATATGAATCTTTTTAGGAATGCGTCTCTTACACATGATGTACTAGTATACCAACACATCAACTCTTGGCAAACAAAGGTACAATATTACTTACATATATAAGGAAAGGGTTATCTGTAAATATACCAATCTCTCTATATAACCTATGAATGAATTTCTTTCCAAGATCCCCAGATTTAATAGAAATACTGAGTAACATCAACAAAATAATAGAAAGCATCAGTAATACGTGGAAACTTCAGTAAACAGAACATGAACTCCCATTGTTTCTCTTAGGATGCTTCAGATTCCCTTAAAGAAAAAAATATATATTCTCTTTCTATTAGAATTTGTGATGGTTTGGTTCCACTCCATTTATTCTTAGTATAAGACTTTCCTTATCCAGGACAACTGCTGTGTGGGAGAAGGACCCTAAAAGTGTGTGACTAACATTCATGCCAACATAATGGTTATGGGTTGGCTTGGCATGGAATACATTTCTTCTTACCACATAAATGGCCATCATGCGATGAGAGGGCAGCACTTTAAAGTACATGCTTGGTACCACTTGCTCTGAAGAAAAGTCTCCAAAGCCAAATGTAGTTAGGATTCTTTCATTTCCTAATTTTAACGATTTAGGAGGAGTGTTGTTCAATTGCCAACATTTTTATTTACACAAAGTCTATAAAATTTAACTGCTGCTCTGTGTTGAAAATACTACAAACTATGTATATGTCAAGTAGTTTGGGCATAATATTTTTGCCTCTGATTTAAGCTGCAGCAGGTGTCAACCAAGATAGATGCAAACATGACACTCAAGTCTTAGGTTATCTACTCTGGCTCTGCTTTAATTATCACTCATTAGTCATTGCTTGCTAGATCATTAAAATAAAATGTTCATATTTGATATGTTTTTGGATTGCCTCAGAAAAAAAATTTATAGCAAGCACTCCAGTGTGGATTTTTAATGCATAGCCATCCATATTAATAGTACAAGATTCTTCTGATAGCAAAAATAGACCCTGAGTGAGTTCTGATATTACACACACACACACACACACACACACACACACACACACACACACACACTATACAATCTATTATTAACCACCTATGTGATGAGTATATTTGTTTTGAAAAACAGTCACATGTAATGTGCCTTTATTGAGCTAGGTCATATTCATTTTAATACTTTCTTTTTTACTTTATAGTTGGCAATCAGTGGATAAATTACATATCATTCTGTGGCCTTAGAACACATGCAGAGCTTGAAGGAAACCTAGTCACTGAGCTCATCTATGTCCACAGCAAGCTGCTAATTGCTGATGACAACACTGTTATTATTGGTAAGTACACGGTCTATAATTGTGTTACTTGCTGGTTGACTTACTTCATGCAAATATCCTTCTTTCTCTTCCTCCCAAGATTCCTTTGCAGTTGAGAGGGACTGTTACATGATATCTAAAACATTTCTAAGCAGTCTTTTCACTTTTGGCCTTTCTAATTATCCCTGTTTTCATCTGTGAAGAAACAAAGGCACAGAGCAACTAAATAGCCATTGTGCAAATTACAATATCCAGAGCAGTGGTTTAACTCAGCAGTGCAGTAATCAGCCATTCTCATTAATTCTTTATTACCTTCTTATTTTTATTTTGAATCTAAGTACCTAGATTTCAGGGGCTGGAGAGGAAGACATGGGGAGGGAATATGAGCAGCCCAACTGTCCATTGACTGATGCATGGATAAAGAAGTGCCACCATATATGTATGTATATATGTATGTATGTATGTATGTATGCATGCATGCATGCCATGGAATATTTTGCAGCCATAAACAAGAATGAAGTGAAGTCTTACGGTTGCAACAACATGGATGGAGCTAGAGAGTATTATGCTAAGTGAGATAAATTAGAGAAAGAAAAATGCCATATGATTTCACTTATGTGTGGAATTTAAGAAATAAAACAAATGAACAATGTGAAAAAATGAGAGAGAGAGGCAACCAAGAAACAGATTCTTAACTGTAGAGAACAAACTGATGGTGACCACAGGGGAAGTGGGTGCAGGGGATGGATTAAATAGGTGACAGGGATTAAGGAGTGCACTTGTAATGAGCATCAAGTGATGTATGGAAGTGTTGAGTCGCTAAACCATACACCTGAAACTAATTATACTGTATGTTAACTAACTGGAATTTAAATAAAAACTTAAAAAAAATTCCAGGAAAAAATTTATAAAATGTAGTTTCTCAACTACAATAAGATATTTCCCTATTCTTTGAGAAACTAAATGTTGTAGAGTGTTTTGAAATCTTTTGGCAGTAAATATGCCTTTTCCATCTCTATCCTCCATTGAGGGGAAAAAACTCCTCATATCTAGGAATAATGAGATTGTCTTCTCTGGAATATGATTTGAAAAGACAGAAAAAGTAATTCTGAAACCAGAAAATATATAGACCACAGTGTGGTGATACTTACATATGTGTAGACACACACACACACACACACATTCTTTTAATACTTACACAGAGCATTTAGAAAAGTATCTGTGTCTTCTCTCTGTTTCTCTGTCAGGATTAAAGTTCATCAGGGATTTACTGACTCTCCTATTCCCCCAGTGAACAAGGTTTCTCGTATTTTCCCAAAGCTACTCTGGCCTTCCTCTTCAGAAGTCAGTCTCAGAATATTTTCATAATAAATTTGACAATGACAGTTGGAGAGGAAGAGTACTGATGTTTGCTGAAATGGAAAAACAAACAAACAGAGCCAAATAAAATTCAGTTGATTTCTTCGGCAAGATTTCAGAAGTCTCGAAGTAAAAATTGATAGATGTACATATTTTCCTTTTAAAGCTCATTTTGGCTTTCAGCATGCTTTACTTTAAATAAAAATGTAGATGCAAATTAGTTTGCAGTAATAGAACTAATGATTAAGTAGATTTGTTGAGTTTCTTAGTTGACTTATTTTCTAGAAAGTTCTCTGAATTCTCAAAGGCTACAGTTTATTTAGGCTAGCAATAATTGATCAGTCTTGCACATAATTGTTATCCCTTTTCTTGAAACCAAAGTAGTGGCCTTGGGAGTCTGAAGAGGTCTTACTTACTAGTCTTCAGGGGCTGGATTTTTCTCTTTCCCCAAGGCCAGAACAGATTTCCCCATAGAAAAATCCAAAGATACTTTTGTTTTCTCTGTCTCAGGGGAAACTCTAAGAGAAGCAGGTTTGTTGCAGCTCTAAATTCATAACACAGAGAACAATATTTCAAATTCTCAGAAGGGAGTTTGAAAAGTAAGGTTGAAAATATCTTACAGGTGTTAAGCAAGCATTTAAAAGCTTAAAAGAGGTTAAAGTTGCCTGTGGTTAAATTTTCTAACATGGCAAAAGTATGCCAGTGTTACTGAACAATGGACAGAAGAAAAACATCCAATTTTTATTCTCACGTTTTCCTTACAAGGAAATACTTGATTTCCTGCATTACAGATCTCTTCTGTGCAGAACTTTAATAATCTCTTGCCCTGGGTGCCCTGCTGCTCATAAATTTGTGACCAAGTCCACTTTTCTAATCCATCTTAATATTGGCAGTTAACCAAACTAACATTTTGTTTGCTTTCCTAAACAGAACAAGGCTATCCTTAAGTAGAATTATAATATCTTGTTGACTAAATGAAATGCTGTATATGTGTGTGTGTGTGTGTGTGTGTGTGTGTGTGTGTGAGAGAGAGAGAGAGAGAGAGAGAGAGAGAGAGAGAGAGAGATCTACTACAGAGCACAATGGGGAGATATAAAACTTGAATTAAACAATGCCACTGCCCCCACAGAGCTCAAAGGCTAGAGGGGAGGGAGGTATTCTTTCCACCCAACACCAGAAACATCAGAGTGAGTATCACCGAGTGGGAGTAAGAGGGTCCAAAGGCATCAATGAGGTTGGTGGGTGCGAAACTATGTAGAGGTAATGAGTATCAGTCCTTAAAGGACAGGCTTGAGAGTGGCTGATGAAAGTCTGTAGTTGAATGGCTGCCTTAGGAAAGAGGGTTTACATTGAGCCTAATCCCATAGATCCCAACCCTGGCTGCCTGGGGAGCTTTAAAAATATAAATCAATACGGCGCCTGGGTGGCTCAGTCGGTTGAGACTCTTGATTTCAGCTCAGGTCATGATCCCAGTGTCATGGAATTGAGCCCCATGTTGGGCTCTGCACTGAGTATGGAGCCTGCTTAAGATTTCTCTCTCTTCCTCTCTCCCTCTGTCTCCCCTACTCTCTCTCCAAATAAAATCTATATATAAAACTTAGGGAGAAGTTTATCCCAAATCTGCAATTTGCTTTAAAATGGATCCCCTAAAAAAGGTGCATTAGTGGATAAAGGGAGAGAATGATACTGGGGGGAAATGCTGATGTCTGGTTCCTGTTTCCAGAAATTCCAGGATTAATTGGTCTGGCTTGGGGTGTGGGCATCAAGGTATTTTTGTTTTTCTTTTTGGCACTAGTATTTTTAAAAGTCTCCTGGGTGCCACTCACATACTTTCTGAGCTGACAACTTCTGAACTGGAGGAACAGGGAACACAGTGGGTAGAAAGTACTGAGTAGTGCATTTGGACTCCATAGAAGAATCATGTTGAATTGGTGAATTAGTTGTCTGTGACTGCTATAACAAGCAATCACAAACAATGGCTTAACACAGTACAGATTTATTACGCATCAGTTCTGTAGATGAGAAGTCCAACGTGGGCCTCCCTGTGCTAAAATGAAGGTTTCAACAGGGCTACTTTCCTTCCTGGAGACTCCAAGACAGAAGCTAATTCCTTGCCTTTTCCAGCGCTAGGGTCTGTCAGTGTACCTTGGCTCATGGCCCCCTTCCTCAGTCCTTGGAAACAGCAACTTTACATCTCTCTGAGGGTTCCCAAAAGCCTCAGGCCATACTTCTCTAACCGCATCTCCCTCTGAATCTCCTTCACTTTTAAATACTCTTGTGAGGGGCACCTGGGTGGCTCAGTTGGTTAAGCATCCAACTTGGGCTCAGGTCATGATCTCACAATTCATGAGTTCGAGCCCCACGTCAGGCTCTATCAGCATAGCCAGCTCAGAGCCTGGAGCCTGCTTTGGGTTTTCTATCTCCTTCTCCCTCTCTGCCTCCCCCCTCAAAAATAAACATTTAAAAAAAGAATTAAAAATAAAGACTCTTGTGACTATATTGGGCCTACCTGGATAATCCGGGTTCATCACCATGCTTTAAGGCCAGCTGATTAGCGACCTTAGTTCCCCTTTGCTGTGCAACATGACATATTCACAGGCTTTGGGGATGAGAACATGGCCATCTTTGGGGACCATTATTCTGCCTACCATAGAAAGATTCACAATTTCTGAAATGAGACACTTTTTAAAACACAAACCAAAAAGGAAAAGGCAGGGGCACCTGGGTGGCTCAGTCGGTTAAGTGTCCGACTTCAGTTCAGGTTATGATCTCACGACTCGTGGGTTCGAGCCCCACGTTGGGTTCTGTGCTGACAGCTAGCTCAGAGCCTGGAGCCTGCTTCACATTCTGTGTCTCCCTCTGTCTCTGACCCTCCCCTGCTCATGCTGTCTCTATCTCTCTCTCTCTCAAAATAAAACATTAAGAAAAAGAAAGAAAAGACCGATAAACCCAAATGCATTAAAATTCAGAACATTATTCAATAAAAAGCACTATAAAGAGAATAAAAAGATAAACCATAAACTGAAAAAAGGATATTTGCAACACAATATTCACAACCTATAAAATACTATAAATCAGTAAGAAAAGATAACATCCAAAGGAAAATGGGCAAAGGAATTGTATAGGCATGTCACCAGAGGATGTACTTGAGACCCATAAACCTAGGAAAGATGTTCATCTTCATTAATATGACACAAAGAACAGCTTTTAAAAATACTATTTGGTAAAAATGTAAAAGTTGGGCAAGCCAGGTATTGACAAGGCTGTGGAGCACCAGGGATACCACTCCTATGGGACACTGATAAACTCCCACACACGCACACCAGGAAATGGTTCGCTACCTAGAGCATTAAGTGTGCATCGTAGAAAAACACTGAAAACAACCCAAATGTCCATTGACAGTAGAATGAATAAATAAGTCCTGCTGTGCTCATTCAAGGAAAATAATGCATTGAGATTAAACACAGATAAATTCTGAAGGCATAATTTTTTTAAAATTTTTTTTTAATGTTTTATTTATTTCTAGGAGAGAGAGAGAGACGGTGTGAGCAGGGGAAGGTCAGAGAGAGAGGGAGTCACAGACTGAAACAGGCTCCAGGCTCTGAGCTGGCAGTCAGCACAGAGCCCGACGCGGGGCTCGAACCCACGAACTGCGAGATCATGACCTAAGCGAAAGTCGGACGCTTAACTGACTAAGCCACCCAGGCGCCCCCTGAAGGCATAATTTTGAATGAAAGAAGCAAATCGCAAAAGATTATCTATATGTGGATACATTTAAATTGTACATATATGTTTGCATATATTCTTTGTATTTTACTATATTTCACAATGTTGCAAATACTTACTAAAAGCAGACTTAGAAAAGGTCATTCTCCAAAAACTGAGTGGTTGTGGGGCACCTGGGTGACTCAATCGGCTATGCAGCTGAGTCTATTTCGGCTCAGGTCATGATTTTACGGTTTGTGAGATCGAGCCCCAAGTTGGACTCTGTGCTGACCATGTGGAGCCTGCTTGAGATTCTATCTCTCTCTGCCCCTCCCTCACTCATGCTTTCTCTCTCTCTCTCAAAACAAATAAGCCTTAAAAAAAAAAGATTGTAGAGCATTGTAGATTAGTAAATTCTTTCACATAGTCTTACTTAGTTCTCACAAGAACCCTACAAGATCTCTGTTAGGATCTCAATTTATGAAAGATCAAATTAAAGCTGGAAGAGCTTAAATGACTGTGTCCAAATTAATGCTGGGCCGACTGTGAAGCCCAAGGATATGGCTACAAATTTTGCAGCATAATCAAAATGTTTTGATGGTTTCCACCTTACAGAGCTCCTGTAGTGTTCCCAAATTTCTGTGAAGTGCTTGCTCCATCCTTTCTTTGTCACCCAGGGTACCTATGGGACCGCCATTCACATCCATAGTTATCATAGATTTCCCTATTAACTACATGACAATATTACAGCAAATGTCAGTAAAATCTCTTTAGAAAGGTCCAGCTTTTCATCATGTACAACATGCTACCATTTGGGCTCAGAGCAGGGCTCCTATCACCTTACACCCTGACTGTCCCTGTCACAGAGGGGAGCCCCTGCTCCTCTTCAGTCCGACTGAAGAGATGGAGTCTGCTCCATGTCTGCAGGAGCAGAGGCCTGTGTGACGAGGGGAAGAGGAAGAGAAAAGTATCAGGTTCCTTCCATAGTTTGTAGGACACCTCAAGGATCCACAAACATGAATCCATAGGGATGAATGCAGAAACACGTGCTCGGGTTTCTGGATACATAGCAGAGGCGTGGAGAAAGTACAGGTGGAAGTGATATTAAAATACTTGCCCTTCACATGTGAAAGTCAACATTCTCAGCTCATTTGGATTTAAAAATAGAATGGAAGGAAGTTGACAGAAGCTGTTGGCATGCCGCACAAGTGAGGCAAGAGAATGTTAAACCCAGAGCCACTAATGATAATCCATGTTTGAGAGTGGACTCTGTAGACTGTGAGGCTACTCTGGGATTTTGACATTCCTAAGTATATGATCATGTGTTAAGTAATCAGACTCTACAGAGTCTGATTCTTAAGTCTAAAAGCTGACTGGGCTGAACTGGTGTGTCTCTTCTCTTTGTGTGCTTAATGATTACATCAATTATTGAGCCAACAGATGAAAAATCTAGCTAGAACTGTGTGAAACAATAAGGAAAATGTATTATTCCACACACCAGATGGTAAGAAAGTTGGCTACTTCAGTAACTTGAAGACCCAGAGTTTTTCTTCATTCTACTCTGCTGTCTTCAACTTGCCTGCTTGTCCCCTGTTGGTTATAAAATGGCTGCAGCAGCTCCTGGAATCATGGCTTCATCCAGCGTTTAAACCAAAATATCCAAAGGCTGGAAGAGACTACATTCCAGGCTGGTGTCTGTTTATAAGAAGGAGATAAACTCTCTCAGAAGCCCCTGTAGGCTTTTCTTCATGACACACTGGCTTCAGTCGTGTCAAGTGCCCATTCCTAAGCGGATCACAGGCAAAAATCATGAAATTACCATGGCCGGCTTAGACTAATCAAGACTCATGTCTGGGTTAGGGCGGGCCTCCTCTTCCTAAAACTCAGCATCTCTTGATAACCTGAACAAAATTAAGGTTTCCTTAGCAAGGAAGAATTGAGTGGGGAGGGCAACTGACTGTGTCTGCATTGACGAGAATATTTCCATGTCACTGATTCTCCTTCTAGGCTCTGCCAACATAAATGACCGAAGCATGCTGGGGAAGCGTGACAGTGAAATGGCTGTCATTGTGCAGGACACGGAGACAGTCCCTTCAGTAATGGATGGAGAAGAGTACCAAGCTGGCCGGTTTGCCCAAGGACTCCGGCTGCAGTGCTTCAGGTGGGCCATCTAAAGCTGTGTCCCTCTTACATGGCTTCACTGTGGTGGGTGCTGGAACCCAGCCCCGCCTCCTGCCCTGAGCTCTATCATCCCCAGATTCTTTGTCTAAAACAGCACCTTCTAGAGTACGGGATGGGAATCACCAGTAGTGTTAGAAATGACTTTATGTGGGGCATAAACATTTTCTATTTTAATCTTTTATTATTATTTTTTGAGAGAGAGAGAATGAGTGGGGGTGGGGGACAGAGGGAGAAGGAGGGAGAGAACACCCAGTGTGGATCCTGACATGGGCTCGAACTCATGACCCTGGGATTGTGACCTGAGCCGAAATCAAGAGTCAGATGCTCAATCGACTGAGCCACCCAGATACCCCTGTTTTTATTATTTTTATGTGTGATTGAGAAAAATAGCATTTTAAATTTATTCATTGACTTAGGACCAGGCTGAGTCAACCCATATCGTGTCTATTTAAGTTTTTTAAAGTAAGTCCATTTTTAAAAATTGTTAATAGTCCCAATACTACAAGGATGTAATAAAAACTATTAAAGGAAAGTGTCAGTGACTACTGATGGTGAAGTGTGGAAACTTCAGTTCTCAGCATGAAAGATTCCTTATCTCCTCCAAGAAGATGGAGTTTTAAACTAATCTGTGGTCAAGCAAAGAGAACACTGGGCTGGGAAGCAAGGGCTGTGTGCCCCTAAATGAGTCTTTTCATTGGGTTAATGTTTCTTAGAACTTTCTAGGGCTGGACTCTAACTGGTCTCACCCCAGCCCCTTTAGTCTTGGTGGTCTGAATGATCCTTCTAGAGCCTAGCTCAGATCCTGTCACTCTGCTCATGGTTGATGGAAGACCCGGACCACTCTCTCATCCCAAGGCCTTTACAGTAAGCCCACAGTTTCGTGATTCTTAAGCTGTATCTTCCAGGATGGGTTTTCACTGTGGCCTCCACAGTAAGATGTAGCGAGTGTTCCTGATTCAGCTTTAAGCTACTTGGGGAAACCTCACTGCACAGCACGCTTCATAGCACTGCTGTTTTAAGTTTTCTGGCATGAATGGTTGAGCTTGGAAACAGGTTCACTTGCACATAGGCGCATAATGAGTACTTCCCTCCCTGCACATACTGGCAGCCACTTCCTTCATACCTAGTGGTCCAGATTCTGGCTTTTGAGAAGCAAGATAAGTTTCAGTTCCAGAGACAGGTCATTCTGCTCCTCTCTGTCCCAGAAGCTCAGCAAATCCATCCCTCAAAATCTAACTCTCAATATTCCTTCACAGTTTTTATTGCTTTGTTACTGTTTTACCAGTAAGATTTTTTTCCCAAACCATTGATATTTCAATTAGCTTCTAATGTTAACTTGTTTTGTTTAGTGGGGAGGAGATTAAAATTAGTACCCTGTTAATCAACCCATTGATTGCCTAGTGCCGCATATATGAGGAAGCAAATATTTCCTCATGTAAGCTAGAAATAAATGTCTTTTCAGTTTCGTGAGAACTGAAGTATTCTCTTCAAAGTGGTGAGCTTCTTTATTACGTTCTAATGTATAACTACAAAGGTGTAGGTGGTTCTGATTACAAATTATTTTTGTTGTAGAAAATTTGGCAAGTACAGTGAAGCAATAAGAAAATTAAATGGCTCAGTAGGTTAAGTGTTCAGCTCAGGTCATTATCTCATGGTTCTTGAGTTTGAGTCTGTCAGCAAAGAGCCTGCTTCGCATCCTCTGTCCCCTTCTCTCTCTGCCCCTCCCCAATTCGTACTCACTCTCTCTCTTTCAAAAATAAACACTTAAAAAAGTTTAAAGAGAAGAAATTAAATTTATCTGTAATCCCACTGTCCAGAGCTAGCAACTTTAACCTCTGCTGTATAGCATTCCACTTTTTTCTGTACACATATATTACTATTCTGTATTTCTTTTTAAAAACATAATTGGAATCTTACAGTCCTATGAAGTTCTTTATTATTTAAATAATGCTACACACACTTTTCTGTGTCATTAACTATTCCTCTATAACCTTTACTGATGCATTGTATTACATCATATGAGTATGCAAGTAATTCCTTTACATAATAATACCTCATAGAGAGGCAGGTTTTTCACAGATATAAAAAAGTGGTACAGAGTTGCCTGGCTGGCTCAGTCATGGAGCCCGTGACCCTCGATCTCGGGATTGCGAGCTAATGCCTCACGTTGGGTGTAGAGATCACTTAAAAATAAAATCTTTAAAATAAATAAATAAGGTGGGTATTTTCATAGATAGCATCTGACTTACCTTCTTAATTGTTTCCTTAACTAGATCCTAACTGTGGAATTTCTCATCAAAGGGAGTGCGCTATTTCCTTTACCCTCTAACTTCTTGCTGTATCATTATTAATGCTTTAGAGGGCTCCTTCCTCCTGTCTTTACCATCACTGAGTTCTATTATTTTATTTAATCTTTGCCAATTTATTGGAGTTCAAATGGAATTTCATTATTTTAATTTGCATTTTTTGAGGGTTTTAAAAAATGTGTTCATTAGCCATATTGTTCTTGTAACTGTTCTATTGGAAATTACCTAGCCTATTCATGTCCTTTGCCCATTTTGTTGGAATGTTTCCCTTTCTTTGAATGATTTATGAGTAATGTAAGTATATAAGAGGCTAATTCTTTTGCCACATTGGTTGCAAATCTGATCTGTCAATTGCCTTTGAATCATATTTTGAGTATTTGGGGGAAACTTCTATTCTATTAAATCTAACAGTTTTTTCCCCTCCTTTTCTTGTATGCTTAGAATGGTTTCCCCAACCCAAGATCAAATACTATATGTTCTTCTAGTTCTTCTTTGATACGGCTTTTTACATTTAACCTCTGCAATTTATTTTACTGTAAGAAATGGGATAAGGACTCTTAACTTTCCCCCCAACCTACCAATTGACCCAGAACTAAATAATGTGCAGTGCTCTCTGCCTCTCTTACATCCATTATCTCCTTAGGATATACCGTATGGCTCTAAACCCTCACTTTACCTCTGATTTCTCCATTACATGATAATGTAGTTTGTTTACTTGTGCCCACTGCTTTAATTTGATCTGGGCACTTTAATGCTGCTTCTTGCCACCCCACTTTCCAAATCAATAGTCTTTGGCAGAGTAATCTTGGCTACTCTTAAACATTCACTCTTCCACATGAACTTGAGGATTACTTATTCACATTCTCGTCAGGTTTTTTGTTGAGGACACAGTAGATTTATAGTGGACATACTCATAATATTGAGTCATCCTATTGAAGAACAATGTATAAGCTTCAGTTTCTTCAAATTCTTTTAGAATATTTCCTTAATGAAGCTCTAGGATTTTCATTACTTTTTTTTTAATATTTTTTAATGTTTTATTTATTTCTAGGAGAGAGAGAGAGACAGCGTGAGCAGGGGAGGGTCAGAGACAGAGGGAGTCACAGACTCTGAAACAGGCTCCAGGCTTTGAGCTGGCAGTCAGCACAGAGCCTGATGCGGGGCTCGAACCCACAAACCAGAAGATCATGACCTAAGCGAAAGTCAGATGCTCAACCAACTAAGCCACCTAGGCACCCCTAGGATTTTCATTATTGAGGGGCTTTGCTCTTCAGCAATCATTAGAGATTTACTTTGACTTTTTAATGCTGATTCCATACATTTCATGTTAAACATATTCTTAGGTGCTTTTATTTTTCTGAAAATTTTCAAACTCTCCTGGGGAAGCAGTTGTTCATGAAAATGAACAATCATTTTCATGTTGCCCCAGTGGCAAACACAGATAATATATTATAAAGCACCACAAAAAAACCCTTGTGTCCTTGTGTTGATTTTATTAGGAAATGTTCTCAAAGATAATATTGGGGCCTAGAGCATAGCCATTTTCTCACCAGAAAAAAAAAAAAGCAGCTTCCATCCATTTTCCATCTGGGTTATTTTTGAGTAGAAATAGAGAGACACATTTCAATGTGAAATCAATTCTAAATAGAGTCAAACATCAGGGTACTGCACTGAATGTCACAGCCATGTGCCGAACAGTTCATTAAGTTCTAGAAAATTATCCAACTTTACAGATGTAACCATCACTCAACAGGAACCATTATCCACACAAGTGGAGTTCAGAATCATTTAAAGGGATAGACACAAGGAATGGAAAGAACGGGAACTATTTTCTGCAGTTTCCCTCCTGTCCCACTGATGCATAAACAAACATTAAATAACTCCCATGATACACACCAGCATTATATCAGATTAGATTTCTGTCAAACCTTAGTCCTCAAAAGAATATCCAGAATACTCCATAGTAGTTTTACTGTGCATTTTAATATAAATTGCTTATAATTAAGAAACTGACAGGGAAAATAATTTATTACCAAAAACAACCTGTCATAGGAGCCTGTGTGGCTCAGTCGGTTAAGTGTCCAACTCTTGATTTCAGCTCAGGTCATGATCTCAGGGTGGTGAGATCAAGCCCCGTGTCAGGCTCTGTGCTGAGCATGGAGCCTGAGTAGGATTCTCTCTCTCTCGCTCTCTCTCTCTGCCCCTCTCCCACTTGTACGCATCTGCACATGCACTCTCTCTCAAAGTAAAACAAAAAAAAATCATTAAAAGTGGTCTGTTATAAACTTATTTAAATACATGTTCTCCAAAACAAGCTCTTAACTGCTAACTTGGCAGACACATTGTATCACCTCTTGTTTTAATTTAAAAGCAAAGTCACAGAAATATTCTTCTGGGTAAGTTTTCAGTGGGTGATATCTGATCCATATCAAAGGTATTATTGTAAGTATATATTGTCGTAACTTGCCCTGTCTTTCAATGTGATGCAGCCACATTTTGCTTTGGACTTAGTGACCAGCCAGCATCTGTGTGCAAATGTCATCCCCTAGATCCTTTTTTCAGAAGTTATTCCCGTGTAGTCTGAAGAAGACATTATTTGAGATAGAAACAAAATTTTGAGGTTATAAAACCCTAAAAATCCTGGTGAGCCCACAGTGCCCAATCCATTTCTTTTATAGAATTTTTACACAGTGGGAAAAATGCAGACTGGAACTAAAAAGAGATGTCTCTTTATCCCTGTAAACCTGGCTGAGCTTATTCAGAAGTTAATAATGTTGGAGCTGACTGGGGAGCATATGCACAGATACAGCGTGTGTGCCAGAACAGCCTTTCTTGAAGTCGATTCCAATCCCAAAATTTCTCCTGATGAAATCATCATACAGATTCACAAAGTATTCTACATGATGAATAAATTATGTTCATTGTAAAATTGTTCACAATAATGAAAAGTGGGAAACCATCCAAAAGGTCATAATAAAATAATTGGTTAAAGAAATTTCACATGATGGGACTTTGCAACCATTAAAGTTGATGACCCAGGGGCACCTGGGTGGCTTAGTCCATTAAGCATCTGACTCTCAACTTAGCTCAGGTCATGATCTCCTGGGTCATGAACTTGAGCCCTGTATTGGGCTCTGTGCTGACAGCACGGAGCCTGCTTGGAATTCTGTCTCTCTCTCTGCCCCTCCCCGACTTTCTCTCTGTCTCTCTCTCAAAATAAATAAAAATTAAAAAAAAAAAATTTAAAAATGATGATGTAAATTACATTTATTTATATACAGAGAGGGTTACAATAGATGACCTCCACACTGTTGAATCCGATGGTCAAATCTTGTCTGAATTTGACACAGTTCTCCTTGATGTACTTCGTGTGGTTCAGGGACACAACATCCTTGCTTGTCTCCAGGCTCACTGTATGTTCTTCCTTTTCCCCACGATGAGGCACACCAGGTCCTATACTCACCCCTTTGGTAAATTAAGTTAAAGTCCCACAGCTTTATGAATATAAGTATAAGGACAATACTCAAATTTCTATGTCCAACCAGGCCCTCTCTCCTAAACTCCAGATTCGTTTCTCTAGCTGCCTACTTTGCATAATCATGTGAGTGTTTCATGGGAGTCTCAACAGGTTCAAAATCGAATTCCTGGTCTTCTCCCACAAGCTGGTGCTACCAACAGAAGTCCCCATGTCGGCCATTGGCAACTACATTCTTCTGTTGCTCAAGCCAAAACCCTTTTTTTTAATTTTTAAAAAATTTTCAAGGCTTTTATTTTTTAAATTTACTTTTTAATAGTTTATTCTCAAGTTGGTTTCCATATAACACCCAGTGCTCATCCCCACAAGTGCCCTCCTCCGTACCCATCACCCCACTTCCCCTCCCCCTGACCACGTCTGCCCTAAGTTTGTTCTCAGCATTCAAGAGTCTCTCATGGTTTGCCTCCCTCCCTCTCCCCCACTATTTCCCCCTTCCCCTCCCCCGTGGTCCTCTGCTAAGTTCCTCCTAATCCTCCTATATGTGCAAACATATGGTATCTATCCTTCTCTGCCTGGCTTATTTCACTCAGCATAACACCCTCAAGGTCCATCCATGTTGCTACACATGGCCAGATTTCATTCTTTCTCATTGCCATGTAGTATTCCATGGTATAGATGAACCACACCTTCTTGATCCATTCATCAGTTGATGGACACTTAGGCTCTTTCCATGTTTTGGCTATTGTTGAGAGTGCTGCTATGAACATTGGGGTACATGTGCTCCTATGCATCAGCACTCCTATATCCCTTGGGTAAATTCCTAGCAGTGCTATTGCTGGGTCATAGGGGAGTTCTATTGTTAGTTTCCTGAGGAACCTCCACACTGTTTTCCAGAGGGGCTGCACCAGTTTACATTCCCACCAACAGTGCAGGAGGGTGCCCATTTCTCCACATCCTCGCCAGCATCTAGAGTTCTCTGATTTGTTCATTTTAGCCACTCTGACTGGCGTGAGGTGGTCTCTCAGTGTGGTTTTGATTTGTATTTCCCTGATGAGGAGGGATGCTGAGCATCGTTTCATGTGTCTGTTGGCCATCTGGATGTCCTCTTTGGAGAAGTGTCTGTTCATGTCTTCTGCCCATTTCTTCACTGGATTATTTGTTTTTCAGGTGTGGAGTTTGGTGAGTTCTTTATAGATTTTGGATACTAGCCCTTTATCTGATGTCATTTGCAACTATCTTTTCCGATTCTGTCAGTTGCTTATTAGTTTTATGGATTGTTTCCTTTGCCATGCAGAAGCTTTTAATCTTGACGAGGTCCCAATAGTTCATTTTTGCTCTTGATTCCCTTGCCTTTGGGGATGTGTCAAGTAAGACATTGCTGCGGTTGAGGTCAAGGAGGTTATTTCCTGCTTTCTCCTCTAGGGTTTTGATGGAAAAACCCTTTTTAAAAAATTTTTAATGTTTTCTATTTATTTCTGAGAGGAGAGACAGTGTGAGCAGGGAAGAGTCAGAGGGAGAGGGAGACACAGAATCCGAAGCAGGCTCCAGGCTCTGAGCTAGCTGTCAGCATAGAGCCCGACATGGGGCTTGAACCCATGGACCATGAGATCATGACCTGAGCCGAAGTCGGATGCTTAACTGACTGAGCCACCCAGGCACCCCACTAAAGCCCTTTTTTAAAATATTTTTTCAATGTTTATTTATTTTGAGAGAGAGAGAGACGGAATGTGAGTGGGGGAGAGGCAGAGAGAGAGGGAAACATAAAATCCAAAGCAGGCTCCAGCACAGAGCTGTCAGTACAGAGCCTGACATGGGGCTCAAACTCACAAACTGCATCATGACCTGAGCCGAAGTCCCTGAGCCAGAGTCCCTGAGCCAAAGTCAGATGCTTTATCGACTAAGCCACCTAGATTCCCCAAGCCAAAACACTTTTAGACATCCCTGATGTTCACTTGTTCTCATATCGTTACATTTACTCTGTCAGTAAAACCTAGTGGCTCTGCCTGCGTCTCCACCTCCCAGGCCACCGTCACGTCTCACCTAGACTACTGCAGGAACTCCTAAGTGGCCTCCCCGTGGCAACCCTTGCCCTTCAGAGTCTGCTCTCAGTGCAGCAGCCATGCTTTCATATGCCAGTCAGGTCCTGCCACTCCTCCGCTCCAGTGTCTGCAATCTGTCCCAGTTTCGCTCAGTGTAAAATCCAAAGTTCTTCTAAGATCTATTTCCTTACTTCTGTTTTCAATGTAACACTAGCCCTTTCGATCTTTGAACCTATCAGGCATGTGATAAAGGGCTTTAGACTCAGTTTGAAATACAGCTTTGTTAGTAGTATGTCTCCAAACTTTAGCTTCCCATCTGCAAAATGGGAATCATATACCATCTACTTCACAGGATTGAGGTGTAAATGTTTTTGGGGAAGTTTTGTGGGGGGGTTGTTTTTTGGTTTGTTTTGTTTTGTTTTTTACTCCAGGGCCTTCTATAAACCCAGGGATTTTTATCATTTTCAAACACGACTTCTAAAACTTAGCTTGCATTGCTTGAGAATTTCTTGTTATTTCTAGTCCACTGTTTATATATGATCAAGCCAGACAACATCTAGTATGTGGCTTCTTTTTTGCCAGGCTCTCTGAGGATATGAGAGTAGCCAGGTCATGTTCTCTTAGAGAATGAACATGCTAACAGTGGAACAGAGAGACCTGTTAAAAAAAAAATGTGTAAAGGACTGTAGGTGTTCTGATAAAGCATAGATGAAGGACAGTGGGGGAGCAGCAGAAGAAGGTTCATGTTTCTGGGGACTGAGAGAGAAAAATGTGAGATGAGAGAAGGGGGAGCTATGAATCAAGGGGGAGCCTTGCACCCAATCCTAAAAGGTGGTAGGTGGGGTCAGGCACACAGGAAGGGAGGGGAACACTCCCTGAATACTCCCATCTCATGCTTTTACAATTTTCATTCCTTCTTTTTAAGGATGACTATTTATTCATTGTTGATCTTACCCATTAAATTTAACTTTACCCAAAAAGGCTCCTTCAGTGTCTTTTGTATTCATTTCTGTACCCTAGAGTTTGGCATTGTTCTTGTCCCAAGAGAAGGAAGGAAGGGAGGAAGAAGAGGGAAGGAAAGGGGGAAGGAGGGAGGGAGTAGAAAGGGATATCTCATTGTGGTTCAGAGCACAGGTCTTGGAGTCAGGTGGTCTGGAGTCCCAAGTCTACAGCTTACCAGTTGTATGACTTTGAACAAATTACTTACCCTCTATGTGCCTTAGTTTCTTACTTGTAAAGTGAAGATAATAATAGTTGCTTCTTTATAAAATTATTGAGGATTTACTGAGACAGTTCTTGGAAAGGGCTTAGCGCATTTGCTGGCCCATGTTTTAAGTGCTAACCCTATCCTCCAAGGTTCGCACCCCCTTAGGTCAGAATACAAGGATTCTTCTGCAACTAAATTAAGTCTTTCTGTCTATCCAATAGTTCAGACTTTTAAGCATCATAACAACTTGGGTTTTGTTTAGTTTTGTTTTGTTTTGCACCTAAGGTTTTACACACATACACACAGTTTTAATGGCTTCTTTGATTTTCCCTGAATTACATTACTATTAGAAACAATGCCATGAGAGAGTCTTGAATGCTGAGAACAAACTGAGGGCTGATGGGGGTGGGAGGTGAGGGGAAGGGGGGTGATGGGCATGGAGGAGGGCACTTGTTGGGATGAGCACTGGGTACTATATGTAAACCAACCTGACAATAAACTATTTAAGGAAAAAAAAAGAAACAATGCCTGCAGCAAACTTCTTTGTCTCAGTTACTCATTTCAGAGGCCTCTTGTATTTCAGGGTTGTCCTTGGCTATCTTTCTGAAGCAAGTGAAAACATTCAGGATCCAGTGAGTGACAAATTCTTCAAGGAGGTATGGGTTGCAACCGCAGCTCGAAATGCTACAATTTATGATAAGGTGAGGTTTGCATATCACCCCCACCTTTTTAATTGAATCATGTCACAAAGGCACAGCATTATTTCTGCATATTATTGGGACAGAGTATTCTTAATGAGTGTAAAAAACTGGTGCATTTCCAAGTTGTAATAAAATACCTCTTTATAGATATTGAGAAACAGAGCCAAAAAGTATCATGGATTATGGTTTAGAAGACACATTAGTGGCATTCTGATCCCTTATCTGACTCTGGGATCCTATCACGAGTGTCCTTAGCAGGTGATTACCCAGCCTTTGGACATGTCAAGTGACCAACAGAAGAGAGGCAGATGGGATCCTAAAATGAGTCAGACCAGGGTTCAATCCAGCTCACCCACTTGCTGTTGTTAAAACTTTGTGTATAGTGATTTGACTTTCTGAGCCCTCCTTTCTTCTTCTATAAACTGGGAGGGATAGAGTGGTTATGAAAATAAAGAATAGTCTTTTAAAATGTAGTTAGCACATAGTGCATAGTAAATGGTATCCGTCCTTTTGATGAAACTTATTAATAATGAAACACGTCCTCTGTTGGACAGCTCTCATTTTGGAAGGGTGTTTTAAAACCAGCTCCATATGTTAGGGAGGCCAAATGTATCTTTTGGTGAGTTTCATCCATGGATTATGATAAAAAATGTAAACGAGTTAAGAGGTGTCCAGCAGTGGAACAGGTTACTTCATGAAGTAGCCAGCTTTCTGTCAGAGAAACTATTCAAGCTGAGATCCACTGACCATCTCTCAGAAACTACCTAAGAATGTGTTCTTCTTCATGACTTCCTGAGTCCCTTCTAGCATAGAGAATTCATCATTCCTAATGGAACATGACAATCTACGTAGCCTACATTTCATACTGAGGACTCAGGGCCACTCGTCAAATAGGTCATGTGCTTGGAGTCTTTTATAATGTAATTTTTACAATGCAGTACACAGCCTTGTTTGGCTCCTGGATTGGGGGAATGGTGGGATAGAAGCTATAAGAAACATTTAGGGAATAATAGGAAACATACGAATATAGACTACATCTTAAAATGACTCAGAGCTGATTTTCTGAGGTGTGAGAATATTATAGTTATATAGGCACATTCTTATCCTTGATACATGCTGAAGTATTCAGAAGGGAAGTATTCTGATACATGAAGCTCGTTTTCAATTAGCAAAAGAAATGTACAGTTGATAACTTTAATAAAGGTACAGATATGAACATTTTTGAAAATAAAAAGCTAAGAGAAAATATAATATGCAACTTTCCACTTAGACCAGAATCTCCAATAAAATTCAGGGAATTATTATCCATGTTATCCAAAAACTTAACTTTAATGTGGGATAACCAGTGGAATTCCTGTATTGCTAGCTTGACTTTATCCTGAGGTCAATGACTTGTGTAGATTATATAGAAGGATCTATCTGTGACTTTTTTTTTTTTAATGGAAACCAATCTAGTAGTTTCTTTGTAGAAAATAAGAGAAGCAATTCTTCAGTCGGGTCTGTTCTGTAGCATACAACTAATATGTGTTTGATAAAGCAAAGATTTTATCTGTAAGAATGAGTATTTTTCCATAAAGTGGATATCTTTTCGTTTAAACTTATGACTTAGTTTCTTCCCATTTGTGTTTTAATCAGGTGTTCCGGTGCCTTCCCAATGATGAAGTACACAATTTAATTCAATTGAGAGACTTTATTAGCAAGCCCATATTAGCAAAGGAAGATCCCATTAGAGCCGAGGAAGAACTGAAAAAGATCCGTGGATTCTTGGTGCAATTCCCCTTTTATTTCTTGTCTGAAGAAAACCTACTGCCTTCCGTTGGAACTAAAGAAGCCATAGTGCCCACAGAGGTTTGGACTTAAGGGTTGTATTCGTTTGCAGCTCAAAGACTTCCGCTGTACATACAGTCACTTTCTGGAGACCCTCACAGCCAAAGCCGGCCCCCATGCACTCCTGTATCCAAAACATGGGGACCCTTTGGATTGACTGGGCAGGGCTGCAGTCCTACTGATATAAGGACACTGAATGTCAGGCAGGCTTTATAATTCTTTGTGCTTTTCCTTGTGAAACAGGGACTGCATTCTTAATGGTAGCATACGCTCGACAACTTAAACGTATACTCAAATTCCATGATGTACACCAAAATGCATTTCCTTTACTAACAAGCATTTACCTGTACCTGTGATCTAGGTGGCCAAAAATTGTCTAAACCTCTTTCTTCTCCTCTGATCCTCATTTATACAGCTGGTGACTGCTGGACCTGCCCTCATTACGTAGTGCAAACAGACACTGTTTGAGACATTGTTTAATAATAGAAGATGTTGTGAGGCTGCTTCCAGGTTCTTCAAGGTTACTTGAGAGGCCCCTGCCCATCTGGTCCTGAAGTCGTAGTGTTCACCCACCCAAGGATGTGGGCCTATTCCTTTTCAGTGACTGAAGGCACAGGGCCAATGCTGTGTATATAGCAGCCCATGTTAGGCACTTCTGATAACATTGACACTATAGATCTTAATGCCACAGAGGAATAGGAAGGAATTAAATTTGGTTATTGAGGCAGAGATTTCACTTTGCCTCCAAAGGCAATGACAGATATGTTCTTTTGATAGGGCCTACCTGATCGAATTTGAAAACATAGGAAGGATATTTCATTACATAGCAGCTGATAAAACTCGGAGCATGCAGCCTTCAGAGGCCTCCAAGGTGTCAGCAGGGATCTGGTTCAGACAAGAAAAGAAGATTTCTTATAGTCCTATAAAATGTCCTATCATCCTTAGCAGCTGGATTGATTGAAATTTGAGTTTCTGCATTTCCAAATCAGACCAGTGAATGCATTTTGTCTTTCAAGAGAATCAGAGGCTTCATAACTCCTACCACATTAATAAGTAGTGGCCTAACCTATTTGACATTCAGCTCTCCAGCTATGTTATCTTCTTTAAGAAAAATTAATTGATTCCAAAATATGTGCTATTTAACTTGCATTATTCAATATACATTAACATTCCACCAGGCTTCCAAAGAGGTTAGGATCTTTATTAATTCACATTGTCCTATTCTATGAGTTGTTCTGGAAACCCATTTTTCCTTTTTGAAAATTAGCATACCCTTTGGTGCCTCATAGCCCTAATTTTACAGAGCAGAACTAGTCTTATAGCCTGAAGAGCTGATGTAGGTTCACAAAAGGCCTATGCTCATCAAACATGGTGTGGGGGCATTGATCACTCATGTATGGATTACCTGAGCAGAACCTCATATGAGCCATTCTTCAAAGAAGCAAGGACCCAATCCATTTTAATGGAGCTAATAGGCCAATGGAAGAGGTTAAATAGGAGCACAAAGTCAATAATCTGGGTAGGTAGGAGAGAGTGTCACACTCACAAATGGATTTCGCAGCCAGAGAACATTTCACCAATGAGGTAGAACTATGCTCTATGAATAAATAATTTCCCAGATAGCTGAAAATGGTGAAAAATGACTTCATTGTATAGCAGCTGTTAAGTAAGACATTTGCTATTTATGAAGTTTAGATCGGCATTAAAAGTGTTAAGTGTATATGGAATACCTAAGGATTTCTTGTAGTTTATTTTTAAATATTTATGTAACCTGTATAACAGTCAACACACTGGCTTTTGATTTTGTGCAAAATGCTCTTTTAACACCATGAAAAATAAAAACCTAAAAGCACCCCTTCTCTTATAAAAAATTCACATAAGCCAACCTCTCTCCATTTTATAGATGAGGAAACTGAGGCCCAGATTGGTTGAAGGACTCACCTGAGTTTCACTCAACTGAGAATGATGGAGGCAGGACTAATGAAATTGCCATGGTCCATTGCTGGTCTCTCCCTTGACTTCATCATTGTCCAAAAGCGAGGAGATGCAGTCAACAGATTTGAGGCAGGATATGTGATATGATGTACTTACGAGCTCTGCTGTCTTCCCCTGCTTGAATGTAAACTCCACGGGGCAGGGTCTTTGCTGTGCTTTGTTCAGAGTGTATCCACAGAGCCTGGAACAGTACTTGGCACATAGGAAGTGCTTAGTAACTGTTGGCTGAATAAACGAGGTTGAGGGGAGAGCAAATGAAATGACAGATTTATGGAGTCTCAGACAAGAAATCTTACTGTTGGTTTCTGTGGCAAGTTTTCTTTCCCCTGCATCTTCTCAAGGCAAGACGTTCATCCACAAAGATGGGAGGCTACCAGCTTTCCTTGGGTGGATCTTATGGAAGATTCCACGCAATAATTGCCCATTTGCAATAGTAAGTCATATAGTGCACATTCTGCAAGTCTCATGGGGTGTGGACACGAAGTGTATTGCATGGCCTAATTACCTATCATCCTGACACCACTACTACCTAATAGAAGTTCAAATACTTTAACATTGCAATATCTGATATAAACTTTAAAATGCAAATGATTCGAAGCCTTGCTCAGCATTTTATGAATCTGCTTGACATTTTAAATTGACTGTAATCCTCGAAAACACCTAGAAATGCTGCACCCAATACTCTGATAATCTCGGTAATAATTTCTGTTTTCAACAAGGAAATATCCTCTGACCATACAAAAGGAATGGTAGAAAGTAGAATAGCTAGTAAAGCCACTCAGATTGTCCAAGCTTTGTTGTTGGAAGACACTCTACATAGCAGGGCTGGTGCAGGCATTTGTTCTGCATTAAGTGTCCACTCAGTGATTTGCCCTTCCTTGGGATGTTCTTAATTCTCAGCTCTAATGCATCGTGCAGAGGCTTGGAGAGGTGGATATTAGACAATTGTGTGGCACATTGTAACACAAAATACTGGTTTCATTTTACTAGCACCTTTGGAGGAAAATTTCATCTATAGGTAGTCAAACACATGAGGAATTAATCTCTCATGTAATAACTTGGGCAATTGTAATATATCATGAACGAACAGTCTCCCAGATGAAAACAGCAAGATGAGAAGGCTTTCTGCAGAGGTAAGACTACAGGCAGAACAAATCTGTGTAAACTTGAAGAACCTGCACTTCTGTCTGCGTCTCCTCACTCCTTATTCCTTCAGCCTCTGTCCCCATGCAGAGCCACCCCTTTATTATGTAAACATTTTAGAGGACAAGGAAAGGGTTTCTGAAAAAAAAAAAATTAGGCCTCTACAATGAATCTTGAGCTTAACTTCTACTTTTAAGTGACTGACAAAATATTATTATTTTTTAGCAGAGGTAATTGTTCTTTTTAACATCCCCAATCTGATGTGGCACTTGAGCATTCTCTGATGTTTGTCACCCTGTGTAGCAGGGGTAAAGAGGATCCTTCACATCTTTTCATCTCTCTCTACTCTCTCTTGTGTAAAATGAGCAAATGCTAAAGGACTTTAAGTGTGCTTAGGAATACATTTTTTTATTTCCTTGCAAGATCCTCTGAGACCAATTACTACTGGCAGTTTGGAGATTTAAAATGGATAAGCCTTGAGAAATTCTTGAATCTAGAAACTCATTGGAAAGGGAATTCATCAGCATCTCTCAAAAAGTTGCAGGTGAAAAGTCAGGGAATTTGCATCATTTTTAGGGGGGTGGGCAGGTACCATAAAATGATTCCTAATGGCATTCAGTTCACATGTGAGACAGTACGGACTCTGAACTAAGATTGGAAGCATTCAAGAAAGGAACTAAACATTTTATCACTAAATTTCCTATTGGTTATTTTCATTTTTCCCTAATAATACTATTTTTAATTTTTAACTTAAAAAAATAAATACAAGATAAATGAAAATTTGTCATGCTGATCATTTGGACATTGTAAAGTCAGAAACTTGGATGGCTATTCAACCAAAATCCAAGCTTAGTTACTCTTTCCTATCCCCAAGCAACTATAATTGTTTACTTTATTCTAGATAAATGCACATAGGTGAATGTCACCCTAATTCTGCTCCCCACTAGGAAATAGAACATCATGCCCTCCTAATGTATATCTACTTGGATCCTTCACACAAAATAGTTTGGGCCAAAGGTACTGATCTTCTCCTAAACTGTTCTAAAACTTCATTCCGAGCTATTGCAGTTGGAGCACATGTTACTAACACAAAAAGACAAATACTTGGCAATGAACATCCATTCAGAACACTTGGATGTTCTGGACAGAACTCAGGCTCCCAGCCTCATCTCTACTGCAGCACTTGGCAAACCAAGTGGGGGCCTCCTGTTTTTGTAAATAAAGTTTTATTTGAACACAGCCATGTCCATTCATTTACATGCAGTCATGGCCAAATGATCCGCAAATCCTAAAATATTCACCATCTTTAAGAGCTTATTGATCCTTCCTCTAGAGAAAGCAGAGAATATCCAGAAAGGGTACCTCAACCAAGCAGATTTGGATGAGTTTGAATCTCTTCCATAACAAGGTTTTCAAGTCCCTATCCCAGAGCCCAGCATATGACAATGGATTTATTCTAAGAACAAGGTCAAGTCCTTTCAGGTATAAAATCACATAGTTTTTGGTTCTGGAAAGAGACGTTGTCAGCTAAAGCAGGCTTCTCCCAGCTCCCAACATGGTTGACAATGTTTGTAACTAAAGTGTTAAAAAAAAAAAAAAAAAAAGGAGGATAGATAGGCTGAAAAACTTGTATTGAATGAGAAATGTGAACTCAGGAGACTCAGTTTCCCCTGAATTTTTCATCTGTGAAGCATTGGAAATAATATGTGTATCCATTCTCTGCCTCACAATCAATGCTTTCTCTGCCTGGTCCCTTAACTGCTTTTTTTTTTTTTTAATGTAAATACTCATTAATTAAATAATTAAAATTGTGAAATCAGCAGTGTCTCTTTATTTGAAAATCAGATTCCTCATTCTGCACTGGGATTTTTAGAGCCAGGGTGCCACAAGTCTGAGCTGGAGACAGAAATGAGTGTCTGTGGAGCCCTACCCCACACCCCAGTTGTGGGTCCCCCTGAAGGTCAGTCTCAGAGTCGCAGCATCCTCTGCGACCCCCAGGCCTCTGTCACCTATGAGGTATGATGACGTAGTGATGTGGCTAATTTCTTTTAAAAGACCAAAACAGGGGTGCCTGTGTGGCTCAGTTGGTTGAGCATCTGACTTCGGCTCAGGTCATGATCTCACGGTTCATAGGTTCAAGCCCCACATCAGGTTCTGTGCTAATAGCTCAGAGCCTGTTCATCACATTGAAGGTCTCCTGCCATTCCTTTCTGGCCTGCCAAGTTTCATTAGATAGGTCTGTCACCACTCTGGTAGGTTTCCCTTTGTATGTTAGGGCCCTTTTCTCCCTAGCTGCTTTCAAAATTCTCTCTTTGTCCTTGTATTTTGCCATTTTTACTATGATATGTCTTGCAGAAGATCGATTCAAGTTACGTCTGAGGGGAGTCCTCTGATCCTCTTGTATTTCCACATTTACTTCCTTCCCCAGGTCGGGTAAGTTCTCTGCTATAATTTGTTCCTGGACTCCTTCAGCACCTTTCCCTCTCTCTTCCTCTTCTGGGATTCCTATGATACGAATATTGTTGGGTTTGACCGTATCGCTGAGCTCTCGAATTCTTTCCTGTTCCTGGATCAGTTTGTCTCTTTTTTTGTCAGCTTCTTGTTTTTCTATAATGGTGTCTTCTAAATCACTTATTCTCCTTTCTGCCTCTTTAATCCGTGCATTGGAGCCTCTAATTTATTATGTATCTCATTTATCGCATTTTTTAATTCTTCATGCCTATTTTTATTTTCCATTCTGTCTGTAGCCATAGTTTCTTTGATGTCCCCTATGTTTTTTTCAAGCCCAGCTATTAATTTTACCATTATTATTCTAAAATCTTGTTCAGTGATGCTGCTGATATCTGTTTTGAGCAGTTCATTAGCTGTCATTTCTTCTTGGGGTTTCTTTGGAGGAGAGGTCTTTCGTTTCGTCATTTTAGTTAGCTTTCTGGCTCTTGTTGGTTTTAAAGACCTGTTACGCTTTCTATTTCTATGAGCGCTGCTATATCCAAGAAGACTCTTTGACTTTCCAGGGCCTATCCTTTCAGAGAGTGTTTTTTGAATGGTATCTCTTGGTCTGTCTTGTTGGGACCTTGGTTATTTTATTTTCCTATTCGTAGTGATATTTGGGATTCTCCACCTTGTGTACTCTGGCTTGTTTCTTGAGGTAGCCCTGGAAAAGAAAACAGACAGACAAACACACAGGGAGCAGGAGCGCACAAACGCACAGGCTAATTCAACTAACATGCAAAGCGAGAGGGAAAACGAAAAAGTTAAGAGAAAAGACGGAGCAGGGAGGGCGAATAATAGGGAGTATAAAATACATAAAAGGGTCAAAAAGGGGAAAAGAAAAGGAAAAAAGAAGAAAGCCGATGGACAAAGAACGGCTTAAAGCATATACCTGGATTTCCCAGCTACAGTTAAATAGCCATGTGTATGCAGTGCTGGTTGAGGAGCATAGAGAAAGAGAGAGAAGACAGGGCAGGATGAGGCAAAATTGGAAATAGAATGAACAGGCAGAAGGGATAAGAAGCTTTTTTCAAAGAGGTAAAGGGTAGAATATGGTTGGATAGGTGAGAGAAGGGTGCTGGAATTATCCAGAGAAACTATATAGTCTAATTACTCTTGAGAGAAAGAGATGAAAATGTCGGTAGGTGTAGAATTTACATTTACAGAATGGACTCGTTGTGATTGTTTAAGCAAGCCGGCGACCAGAGTTAATCAGGTCAGTGTTCTGGGGAAAAAAGAGAGAAAAGAGAAAGAAGAAGAAAAAAAGATAGAGAAAAAAAGGGGGAAAGAAAAAGGAAAAAAAAGAAAAAAAAGGGAGGAGGGCACCTCTCAGGCAGGGATGGGCGTGGCGGGATCCAATGCCTCAGGCGGGAGCTCTGCCTCGGCGGTTGTGGGGGGAGAGTGACGGTGCTCCAGTCCCTTCTTGAAGCAAGCGCTGCACCTCGCTTTTTTGGGCGTGTAAACTCCCCCTACCGGGGGCGCAGCCGAAGTTGGTTGCACGCTTCAACCCAGGCCAGTTCCAATCTCCAAATCCCCGTCCGCGCGCCCCGCTGAAATTGCCTGAGACACAGCTTCCCAGGCAACCCCCTCGGGCAATTCCAGGCCCCCTGCCGAGCTCTGGGGGCGGAGTCAGAATCGCTGCTTCCTTCTCTGCATCGGGCTGGCGCGCATGGGCGGGGGCTTGCCTGCCGGGTGCTCTGAGCCCGAGCCCGCTGGAGTGAGGAAAACCGGGTCCCTCTATGGCTCGTCCCCCGAAACACGAACTCACAGGCTAATATCCCAGTTTTTAGTTCTCTGCCTTCCCTCTCGAGTTCCAGCCAGCCAGGGGCGCGGATGCCCGGTGTCCGCGTGGCTCTTTCAGGGTCCCCAGCCGCCCAGGAGCTACAATGGCGGCAGGCGCGCCGCTACTCTGAAGTCCAGCCGCCAGGAGCCACCACAAAGAAGCAGTTTGTGTGCTCAGCCCCCGGGACCAGTTGGCGTGAGGGGACCTGGTGTGCAGGTATTTGGCAAGTATGGTCTTTCTATGCACCGAGCAGAGGTTTTTCCCCCCCGAGCAGAGGTTTTTCTGTTTCGGACTCTCTCCTTTTCACCTCTCACTCCTCGTAGAGGGTAGAGGGGGATCGCCTCCCACCCTGGAGTCTCTGATCCCGGCCCGATTTTATCTTCCCCGGTTCGCACTCACGTTAGAAGCTCTCTCAGTGGATTCTGCGTCCTTTTTCTCCCAATCTCTCAGGTTTTGTAAGGTTTCCAATGGCTTCAGATCTTTTCTGTGTGATGTATGGGCTCAAGTGCAAGTACGGAGCTCCTTACTTCTCCACATCTTGCCCCCTCTCTGCTAATAGCTCAGAACCTGGAGCCTACTTTGGATTCTGTGTCTCCCTCTCTCTCTGCCCCACCCCACCCCCCAAAAAATGAATAAACATTAAAACTTTTTTAATTAAAAAAAGACCAAGACAGCTTCCAATCAGCACATATTGAGCAAGGCCAGGGGGAGTGCTGGGGTGCATCAGGGAACAAGTCAGACCTTCATGGTGGCCCTTCATGGTGCCCATTTTCTAGTGGGTTGTGAGTGCAGAGTCACTTCCATTCTCAAAACAAGAAAGTGCACTTGGGTGCAAGTGTGGCAATTCTACTAATCTGGAAAAACACCAAAGACTAGAGTGAAATAGTTAGTCTTTGTTAGTCTTTGAGGACAGCAGAGTAGGAACCAGGAAAGATAAATATTACTACTGCCAACAAATAACTTTGTTAGCCAGAGCTTCTTCTAAGCACTTTACACTTATTCTGTAGCTTTGTAGCTCCATTCCCAGGATGTGGTCATGGCCCTGACACTGCTCTTCAAGGCTTTGGAGACTTACATACAACCCCCATGTGCATGAGGTATAGGTGTGGGACTGATCAGCAAACACCAGTGGGAAAAGCATAGGCTTCAGCATTTAAGAGAGCTCACCCCAAAGCTCTACCCTGCCACTTGCCAGCAGTGGGACTCAGCAAATAACCCTCTCTAAAGTCTTCAAATGCAGTAATATGGCCTCAGTCAGGGAGGCCAATGAGATACCTGGGTAAGAGCGCTATGCCCCTCACTCAGTAGGTTTTTTCGCTCAAGCTACAGCAGATGCCTTTCATCCACTCTCTGAAAGTGAGACCAGCCTTCGTGGATGGAGAGGACAACACACGCCATGCCCACATCCATGGTCTGGCCTTCTTTCACACTTTCATAAGGTAAGAAAATGATAGTAATTTCCAGATCATTTTATAATGTAAAAAAATGTTGAGTCACTATGATGTGTATTTGAAAGTAACAGGATATTGTATGCCAACTATACTTAAGTTTAAAAAAATAACTAAGAGCCTAAATGTACATGAACTGATGAATGGATAAATAAGATGTGGCTTATATAATACAATAGAATACTACTTGGCAATGAGAAAGAATGAAATTCTGCCATTTGCAGCAACATGGATGGAACTGGAGGATATTATACTAAGTGAAATAAGTCATTCAGATAAAAACATATCGTATGTTTTCACTCATATGTGGAACTTGAGAAACTTAACAGAACACCATGGGGGAAGGAAAGGGAAAAAAAAGTAGTTACAAACAGAGAGGGAGGGAGGCAAACCATAAGAGACTCTTAAATACAGAGAGTAAACTGAGGGTGGATGGGGGCTGGAGAGAGGGGAAATGGGTGACGGGCATTGAGGAAGGCACTTGTTGGGATGGGCCCTGGATGTTGTTTATAAGTGATGAACCACACGAATCTACCCCAAAATCCAAGAGCATACTGTATATACTGTTTGTTAGCCAACTTGAGAATATATTATATTTAAAAAATAAATAAAAATAACCCAGAAAAAATAAAATAACTAAATATAATACTAATTTCTAAGTGGAGGTTCTAAGCTGGAGGGAGGGCAGAGAGAGGTATCTAAGGGGGGGAAATAATAGGTGGCTTTTTCCAAATTCCTATCATGCTTGCATTGTTACTCTTCTACATGACAGAAATAAACCAAAAGTCATGAACTGATGTCCTCCAGGCCAAAGAGGGAGTATAGTTTTCTTAACTTTGTTTCCGCTTTTATTTGGAGAATGATGGTCTCTATTATTTGAAATCTTGCTCTAATCCGAGGCAGATGTTATAAACACAAGGCCCACCGGCTGCATCAAGCTCATGGGCATATTTATTTATTTCACATAATGTTTAAGATTGTGAATTAATTGCTATCTATAAAAATTGAGAGATTTCACATAACGTTTCAGGTTTCTGACTTTGATGCAAAATCAGAATATCTAGGAGCAGTGGGCCACATGGCATCAATTCTTGTTGG